TGTGCCTTCGATAAGCCCCCCAAGAACTTTAAATTGAGCTAAAGTTGTAAGAGTATACAAAGTGACAACAGCCAATAAACACGATACAGGGATAGTTTCTGACGAAGTTTTGAAAAAAACGCCCTTACGCTCATTAGAAAAAAAATCGAATCACAAAGTAAAAGAAGTAATACGCTTATAAAAGAGGAGAATTGGGAGACGTTATAGTATACTTACGACAGCCGCAGTTTTATATACGATATAACAAAGACTCAAGATTTGTTCCGTTTTGCTAATGGGACACAAAGAGCGCCTTTGTTTACATTTGGCATTTGTAACGTTAATTTTAGACCATTGAAAACCAAGCTTAACGCAATGGTCTTATCAATTTTCACCTACTGTATAATATGTCCGTTTGTATAATTAGGAGCAGTTCAAAATGGTGTCCTAAACTAGATGTTGTATCTAATATTGTGTTCTAAAGTTAATAGGGTAAACTGTGTGTTTATATATTCAGAACAGCCAGTCCCACTGCACTGGGCTAAAGAGTTACATAAGCACTGTTTTCATATATAGGCTTCTCGTTTCTAAATAAAGAGGTCTTTATATGATACAGTGGGTTAAATCGTCTATTATACTAGCCATGTTTAGATAATGCCCACTTTTCCGTGTCACTTCGGCGAACTGTAGTCAAATATTTTTCACCGAACTTTATAGTAACTACTTAAACCCTTTCCCTTTAGATAGGTTCACTTATATACATTATACATAATATATATATATATATATATATATACTATAAGAATCGTCCGTCACTTTATTATTGCGAAGTAACCCAGTTTAACGTTTTTCTCACTACTGACTTATGACATTAGTTCTTTCAAGGGGTCAAAAGAATTCCGCTCATTGAAGTAAATATTATGCGCATGTTCAGAAAGGTATATAGTCAACTTTTTGTTCTGTTGCTCGTTTACAATTGATCGTTTATTTGCTAGGACGCAAAGTTTCGTTATTAAGTAGCGCGGAACAGTTTGACCCCGAACGGTTAATTAAATCAAGGCTGCACTGATTTGACAAATTACAAGTTTAACATATGCAGGCACTTTTTCAAGACTCATGAAGCCATACACGACTTGACCGTTCGACCGAATATACTGTAATCCGCTTTGCTAAAATTTTTCTCCCGCTATAAAATGGACTCATCGTGTTGAAATCTGCGAGCTTTGTCAGGGTTTAAGTGCCGGATCTTTGTCGCAATTGTGGGAGTCAAAGACAAAATCTGAGTGAAGGCAATCTTCGTGGTTCTTCCTGTTGACAGCCTATACCTAAAAGCAAGTGATCTTTGCACAAAGCTGACTGCGAAGACTCTCCTCGGCCACAAGCTCATCATCATCAACTTTATAGGGTTTCAGTCTTGCGAATGATTTCCCTGCGCCAATAGATCGTGCCAATTTAACACCATCATCGTTGAGTTGTTCACTGGTGCTCCTGGGATACACGTAGAGGGTGGTCCTAGCCCTATTCGGGATCGATTTGCGGCGGAACGAATCACTCCAGGCGGGTTTGCCATAGCGTAGCACATTTCAACCAAAAAGTGAAAAATACAATCAAATGGAATAAGTGTTATCACGGTTTTACAAGCTGACTGAGCGCAAAGTTTTGTTATTGCTTGGCTTAGTTTTTACGAATTTCGCTAATTGCTACGTGTTTGACAACGGCTTAATCTGATCATAGATAAGCTCCTCAGAAACTTTAACAAGGTCGTTTGTAAATTAGATATCACAGAGGAGTTAATATACGTAGACTTCTAGTTAACTTAGACAAAAGCCACGTAGGAATTCCAGCTACGTAGAAAGGAAAAGTAGCAAAGGGCAGAGTAGTACGCATTCATTAGGATTCTTTTAGTATAAGTGTAAACCTCGTACTGGCGTAAATCAACGTTTTTTCAATGCTCCGATCACGAGAACGTTCGGTACGGACAAATGTCGTCCGAATCTCCTACTAACATTTCAAAAACGTGCTGATTTTCTGAAAATGCCATTATTCCTGTTAACAAATAATATCAAACTCAAAAAGAACCAGACAAAAGCTACCGTTTTCCTATGCGCATTTGGTAATTAATTGCAATTGAAATCGGTCAGTACACCTTTATGGTCATGCTAGGCTCGGGGCGGTGTTGCTTCTGATGCAAGACTAATTTTACGGGATGTTAGTAATCAGTTGTACTGTTTTGAAGGCAAACTTAAACCAACATCCCTTCCTGATTTGCCATGGTCTAGTCTCATAATCGCATGTTTGAGATGAGGTACTCCTTACAGCCGACACTGCGGGCATGTGTACGGTTTTTTTTTTTGTAAAAATAACAAGCTGATTTTTTTCAAATGGACTAGTGTGTTGTTTTTAATTCGATTTTTCATCATTACTACTCTGTCTATATCGAATGTCTCCGAATCTGAACCGCGATGTATTACGACCTCATTTAAGAAAAACCTACAGCATCTGTTCAATATGCTGATGAAATTGATGAAGGGCAGACTTGCATTGTGGACTATCGTCTCATTGTGAAGCATTAGATGCGATATTTTTTCTATCGGCTATTGGCTATCTGAACTTACTAACTTTTTTCGAGTTGTTCTCCAGTAGACTTTTGAGATGACGTGGTAACAACGTGCCATAGAATCTACCCATGCGACGGCGATGTGCTTACGGTTACTATAGCAACGCACTTGAAGAGTTGCTCATTAGCCATACAGATCATCTAGATCGCTTTTTATGTGACTAGTGTAAAAAGCAACGAAGTCGGCACAAGTGGAAGCTTTGGAAGCTAACACAGTTTGTCGGCGAAAGCCACTCAAGGATGTCAATATTTTATAACCATTTTTCTAACACTAATGACTACTTGCACATTTTATTTAGCAAAAAAATCACGTGGTTTTGAAACATCACGGATGGCGTTTTTACATCTCTAGTATCATCCATCTTTAGGTTCGTATTTTATAGATGAACTAAAAAAATAACCTTCGAATCTTGGTAGCTTCTGCATTAAGTCACTGAATTTAAACCCACCTAATTAAGGCGAGTTCTTCTTGAAATATTTTTGTTGAAAAAGTTAAATTTTTATTTGAAAAATATGCCGCAACTATGATGAAGACAAAGAAACTTCTGCATTCGAATGTTGCGGGAGTCTTCAACTGATATTCTACATAAGAACTGAAAGCAGGCGTCGCGAACATCGTATTTTATGTAGCTCGCCATGCTGCCTGGAGTTATTTAGCGAGTCAAAGATTTTAGTAACTTTTACACTACCTACCATTAGCAGACAAAGTTTGTCTGCTACTGACATTAAGCCCTTTACGGCTATTTACGATCATAAACTGATAGAGTGCTATAACAGAACACTTAGTTTGTAGATATCATGTAATGCTGAAAACGAATGCTCAGCGATTAAGTTTTTCTTCTTGGAAAATAGAATGCTGGTAAAATTTCTTGAAGATTGGTAAAAACACAAAGCAATGAAGCCTTCAGCGACACAACTGTTTGTTACTGGTGCAATTACTTTACGAATGTTGATTTGGAGGTTGAGGACTACGGTGAAGATAGCTATACTTCAGGACTTCAAACACAAGAACGCGGTCTTATAATCACGGAAACTTGTGTTTCCTATCTGCTCAATATGGAATTTTTCAAAGCACGTATAATTAAATTGCCATGAAAAATTTTTTACGTGGACTCAGAACACATGGAAACTCTTATGGATACTCTACACAATTATGCATAATTATGACACGCAGAAACCAGCTTGAAAGACATCATCACCAGAAATGAAGGACTTCCATGATCATCTTGCAGCTCGCACTTTTATTTAAGGTTTTGAGGTATAAGTACTTCCTTCCTTCCTGGTCTTCAACCTCCCAACATGATTTTTAATCTGCCATTTCACTAATAGCTTCCTTGCCCAGCTTTTTCACCTATCCTCAATAAATCCTACCGGCGTTCTACCCTTACAAAAAAAAACGCTGAGCGTTGATTCTCATACCTAAAGAAACCCTTTCTCATAGATGCGTCATCCTTTGATGGTACTTAATCAGCTTATAGACACAAATGGCCAAGGGCCTGGAATAAATCTCGACCAAATATATTACGTTTTTCATGCGTAGTTTTAACTGAGGTATTTCGGCTGTTTAAACAGAATCGGAAAACCTAATACATTACAATTGAAATAAGGACCACAACAATATTTGGAAAAAATCCTAAACTTTCCTCTGTAAATCAAAGACACGGCCAAGTACCCTGTTACGCGGTTAATACATAGCAAGTCCACACACAGCTCAAAGTTTTCGTTCCGGACGTAATATTCGACCACTTATAGTCCCAATGAAGTACATCACGAGGCATGCCGCTCGCTGACATCTAAACATAATATACTAAAAATGGTAAAATATGTGCTTTTGCCAATCCCCGCATTGAAGCTGTACACTATAGAAGTTCCTTGTACACACTAATACAAAATGCGTGACCTTGGACTGTTTGAGGAAATGATTTTCGAAAATTCGGGACCTTTCTCAGAGAAGAGGCAGATGACATAATTAGTTTTGTAGGTCTGTTACGGCGCAATAGCAATGAAAAGAACGAGAAATGTGAGAAAAAATCCTTACCTTTGTCGAAGCTTATATTGGTTGCGGGAAACATCTATGGCAGTTTTAAATATAAATCGATTTCGTACACTGGATTTTGTCTGCATAGAAGACAAGTCAAGGCCATTACATAAGCGAAAGGCATTGTTAACCTCTGAGACAGTCTACAGTATGTGGCCAACACACTTTCCAACATTTAAATTTACTATATGGAAGTGAAGAAGTTTCACGTAGGTATCTAACACCCATGTCTTAATAATTTATTTGCTTTGTGATAGACTTTATTTCAAATACCTAAAAGGGTAAAACCTTATTCGTAACAAAAGTACTGGTCGCAAACTGCGATGTCATATTGCGTAAAGATGATCATATTAGTAAACTCCATAGGCTTATGGTGACACCGGTTCCAGCAGCGCCCTCGAGTAGCGCTTAATGTAATTATTGTAGAACGTACGTATTTCTAAGCTATACATAAATATATGTACCAATTTACACCTACTTCAGTTGATATAGGAAAATTCAGAATCCGCTTTTCTGACGAGATGCAATGATATGTACACATTTTCGATCTACATGTACCTAGCAATAAGAACACGACGGCTATATGATCTTTTTCACGTACAAATAATTTAATTTACGGAAATTTACGATCGTCCTGAGTGAGGACCATCGGGCATAGTATACAGGGTCAAGTGCGTTCATGCAAGGTAGCCTGTGATTATGTAGATATATTTGAGGATATTTTTATTTCATATGCATAAATTAATGCATTTAGCACCAGAATATCTATAGTGCCTCTAATTTTCTTTTAGCTGAATATTTTATGATTTTCGTATATGTTCATTGTAGTCTTTGTTTCAAAATAATTGTACGTACGCAGGCTCAATTATTTGGCACATGCTAATATTATTTTTCCATGCTGAAATTTCCGTAAAACGTCTATCAAGGATAGGCATATTTCGTCGTGCTTTTTTTTTTGTGGTATTTCTAGATATCGTACTCTGGATTTTTGAGATGTTTGGTTACTTGAGGTGTCCGTATTATTAATTTTTCTATTGTATGCAAGTCCTGAACTGAATCTCTAGATCTACATTGTATATTAGCTCGAGTCTCAAAGGTAATTTTCTCAAATGAGGAAACATTCGAGCTTGGATGGACAGCTGCTCACTTTTGACAGTACAAGTGAGCGCAGCGGGCTATTAAGAAACGAGTATGAAGGGAAAAGAACCCTGGCGTAGATAAAACTAGATTAGTCAAAGGTATCTAAAGCAACGTAACACCGCCAAACATCATCTGCTCCAGCAAAAAGTCGTAGACCTCAGGCACTGCGCGATATACGAAAAGGCTTCACAGACGCTGAATATAAATATGAGAAAGGCTTAGTAGAGAAAAAGAATCACTGCTGAAGAAATGACTTTTCTGTATTTCGATTATTTAGAGTACGACTTTGATAGATAGAACACTTCAGCTTTCAATAGGACCAAGTCGATGTGGTGTTTTCCATTGATGCTTTCTTCCTGAAGTCCTAAAGGTAATAGCATGATAGATAAATGCGATAGCGAGATGTGTCGAGTATGCAACACGTCCACAATGGAACGTGGCCCATGCAATTACTTTTTTGTCATGCAACAGAGCGCCTTATGCTTAAACGACAATCCGTATATTTATTTATTCACCGATTTGAGGCAGGCTGTCAAATAGGGTAGATCAATTCCAACTTATTATAACTGCAAGCCAACCACAAAAATTGAATGCAAGCAATGATGCGCGAAGTTCCAATCTTAGAGTTATGATCAACACGACGTCGTTGCTATTACTGAATACCATCAAAATTTACAACAGCGGCTCTGCTATGTGCGAGCTGTGTAAATTTAAAGAAAACTTGGTTCGTCTTCGCCATATACTTCATCTATTGCTTACTCTTCAATCGTATGGAAGATACCAGATCTTCCATACCGTGTGTTCTGACGACTCTCTAGCGATGCGACACTCATCATGTATCGTAAAAAATGCGAACCATCCCGTCACCAGGGTGGAAGCGCATTACCAGATACACTTAGTTTTATCCATAGTGATTTTTGTTGATGACTGAAGTGCCATAGCTGAGTTGTTTACCTGGATTTGGCCTTTCCGTAGCCGCTGCAACGCGAGCAGCGCAATGGTGTATGGGAGATCGGCTGGTACGAGGTGGTGTGATAAGTAGGCCCGTACGAATACTTCGGCTGGTAGACTGGACGAATCGCGATGGGTGCAAAACGGGTTACTGGTAAAGCGGATTTGACAACCGGAGCTGCGACAATCTTCTCTGGCACATAGGCGGTACGGAGACGTGAGGCTGGGGGTGGAACGGTTGGCACGCTGACGGTGCCGTAGTCTTCGGGAAGATCCTGGTCAGGAGCGTAGGCGGGAACGCGCTTTGGCGTTAGGATGACTTTTTCTGTGGGCGTTTCGAATGCCTGTGATGGGTCCTCAATAAACTTTTGGGGCCGACGACGAGGTCCAGTGTAAGCGGGAATGTCAGTGACTACGACAGGCCTAGGCGCTACCGCAGGCTCCACACGTACGACAGAAGGAGGCGGTTGATGAGCGACGCGGTGAACATGTTCAAACACTGGTTTTGGTGGCAATGGCGGTACATGCACCTGCTTGTGCGTAACAATGGGCGGAATATAGGCGATCGTGCGCTTCGGTACAACCGGAATAACTAACAGAGGAAAATTCAACGAATAAGAATCCGTAGTGTTAGCTTGTACCGTTTCACTAGAAAATAGTGATATAAATGCATGTACGCCTTAGTTTACTCAACAAACCTGGCTCAGGGGCACGTTGAATAACTGTCTCGTGAAAGATCGGCCTATGCACTACAACCGGAGGAGGTGGCGGGGGCGGAATAACGACCGGAACCGGAGCAGGCTGAACAACAGTCGGAACCACAAGTGGCGTTTGAAGTTTGACAACGGGACGTACAGAGTGCGCGTGCACCGCGGGAATCGCGGGATCGATCGGAGCTTCCGGGATGACGTGAGTATGATGATGCACGTGGCCTAGTTTCTATCACACGAAACGAGACAAAAAAGCTGATGATGAACCACGAAGCCGACGATAACAACAACAACAACAAACGCCAAACGATGACCATGTTGTGGGTTATACTAAAAACGCATACTAAAAAATATAGTTCTTATTTAACAAAAAGGGTGAGAACGCAAAACGTGACGCTGTCGTTAAAGCGCAAATATGTTAACTATGCTCATCTTGATTGCTAACCTTGCTTACACTTACTGCATATTTAACAAACTAAATATTTTCTATAGCATTAAGAACATTTTTTTTACATACGATTATGTCATAGCTAGCCACTATTCTATGTGAACAAATTTGCCTGCTACGAAAATACCTTCTGCTTGAGGACATGTCCGGTCTGCTGTAGCGCGGGCTGTGCGTCCTGGATGATCTTCGTTACGCCATCGCGAACATAGATAGCGTCGTGGTCGCCTGTAAAATGTGTCTTTGTGCCAGGCTCATTCGTCTTGACTATAGCACGAAAACCGTTCTTGCCAGCCGTGTACTCGACCTGGCGGACCTTTCCATCTATATCAGTGATGGTGTATCCTCCCCGACGATTGTTTTCTGCATCAACAGTTTCCCACCTTTTGAGGTTGGTATCCCAATCGGTAATGTCGTAATTGTATTGATAATTACCATGGCCCTAAAACAACAGTTACCCCGTTAGTTAACAGCAGTTAGTTAAAGAAAATTAACGAAGCTTTTTGACACGAATCAATAATTTGCCGGTGCGAAACGACCAGCTAGCTATACAACGACTACAGAGGACCATTTGCAGTAAATGCTCATTACAACCTGTGGCGCCATATTTCTTCCTTATAGCTTATTTTATTTATGGCGGGTTTTATTAATGATGAATACGTTGTGGATCCCCACATTATTGGCCTGTTTACCTATCTCGTACCGGCTCAGTGTGACGTCACTTACCTTCTACTAGTGTGCATAGATGACAAGCAGGCATCTTCACGGTTTGTATTTGCACGCTAGAGTCTGAATTTCCCATCATTATTGTTACAAATGGCTATTGGTATTTGCCCTCAACCACGAAAGTGCACAATAGCACGTAACGTATAATAGACCGTTTGTTGCTAATGGACCTCTCTACGAACACAATCACGCTCTTGCTCTGCCCTCTTGAGTACATATTTTCAAATGAAGCGGCACTAGCAAGCAAACATATTTCCCCATTCGAAGAAAACCGTTATTATTATTATTATTATTATTATAAAACTATTATACGTCTTTTGCATTTGATTATTTTAAAAATCGCATTTCGATAGTTCAGCATAGCTTATGGACGACGTCGCAATACCCCAGTTGCAAATTACACTCTGAACGGTTGAAGGGCTGCCGAGATAGCTGTATGATTATATCGTTCATATGACTCACTAACGTGCATCAATGCCCGATGGTGCACGCAGGACAATAGAAGGTTGAATGGCTGCAAATAACGTTATAACGCCGAAATAACTATGGCGCCAGCAATATCTCCAGTACTGGCTGCGGCATAACGCGTACAAAAGCAATGCGAAACTGTAATGGTACTAATGGGGCAAAATAAAAAGTGGTGCCAATTTGTGTAGGGACTGGCGCCCAATGACCCGAGGATGGCAGTCTGATAAAATGGCCAATGACTGATTGATCCTATGCAGAGCGCACTAATTGTCTGAGGAAAAGTCAAGCTTTAAATAATGGTAATAAAAATACGTAACAAACTAAGTTATTAATAAATAATAAAATTAAGGAGTTCAACATGTATTTATGTGTAGCATGCCGTCTTTCAGCAGAAACTGCCATATTTGTTTCCGCTTGTGCTCAGTAAACATTAGATGTTGACCGAGGCGACAATCCCTTCGATTCCACCGCGCAGCTAATGAAATCAGGCATGTTAAAACTGTATAATTTGTAAATTGTTTTGCATGTAAAATTTAAGAAGCTGCATACTGGTATGTATAGACAAACGGCACATAAGCGGACTTGTATTTACGTTACTGTGTACGAATCATATTACATGAATGAATCGGTTCTGTTACTAGTCATCCTAAGTCTGGCAACTTACATCTTCTTGCCGATTGATGCTTGAGAATCCATCGTTAGAACGAGCCAATCCAGGCCCGATCAGCGTAAGCACCAAGACAGCTACCGAGCCGAACTCCTGAAAATCAAGAGGGAATAATTGCCACTAGTCTCATTAGGCATAACCTCGTTACATCCGCAAAAGTACCTATTTCTGCTCGAGGTTTACTATTCATTATTGAGCCGTTGAACTATCATATCCATTTAACCGGATGCGCACTCAATAGGGAACTAGACAACCCTATTAAAAATCATAGATTAAGGTTTTCAGTGTTAAAGAGTTTATGAAAATAGACGTAGCTTTTGTGTGTATTTATCATGTGTCTTCTGGCGATTAAGCCAGAAACCTTGAGCTGGCCTAGTGCCGCTTGCGGTTGAACTTTCAAGGATGAAATGCCATTTCGCGTCACCTGAAAGTTGCAAGCCGCGCAGGCGATCGATTAGCAGGAAAAATACGGTGCCTTTTAACTCACATAAATCGAATAAAAATACAAACGAAGCGAACGAAGATCCCACATATTTGCGTTCATACAAGGTCTATAGCGCTATGACGAGCTAACGACGCATCGCACGGATGATCTGAATAAAATGATCGATTTGAATTCACTATAAGTACCATGTATGGTACATTCGTTACCCAAATATTTCCACTGATTACGCTTCTGGAGTTCGGAGTTTACAAACCGGCGTTTTATCCCTTGCGGCAGACAGCCAACTATCGAGCGGATAGTTGAGTTTAGCAATGACTTCTCGTAAATGGCAAAGAGAATCAACAATTTCATTTTTACCTATGCTCATTAATAAGCACTTAATAGTATGGTAGCTAAAAATCAATTATGTATATAGGCTAGGCCTACGGCCTACTGCTACCTTTGCCTAGAGCAAAAATACTGATTTAACCCTCTCTCCTGCGTTTGATGTCGCTCATACCTAGTCCTCCCTTATTCTCAACCAACCGCATGGCCAGTCAGCGGATAGTATATCAAGTCAATGCGCTAGCATAGCGGATCCAGTTTGCATAATATGTTCACGGCATACGATACTGTTCACACTGTATGCTGCATTCTATAAATTCTTGTAGATATTCACAGGTAGCTTTTTGTTTGTCTCCCGTATTCCCACATTGGCCTCGTCTGTTGTCTAGCCAACAATCGCGTACCGGTAGCTATATTAGTACAACTGTGCTACCCACACCCCAGTCGTATCAAGCCTTATGGAACCTAACATTGCGGCCACCATAGCAGGCGTTAAACAATAGACATAACGGCGGTAATATCAACTTTGTCGTTCGGCAACCTCGCGCGCTGAAACAACACCAGGTGGCGTTCGCTCACTCCCAAAAAAGTGGACTGGGGATATGCATAGACGCGCGCTGAAACAACACCAGATGGCGTTCGCTCACTCCCAAAAAAGTGGACTGGGGATATGCATAGACGCGCGCTGAAAGAACACCAGATGGCGTTCGCTCACTCCCAAAAAAAGTGGACTGGGGATATGCATAAACGCGCGCGACTGCCACTGTCGAGAGCTTCGTAGACCCGCGTAGCTAAATATCGATAATACTGCAGTATAACTATACATATATTTACTCATTAATATATATAGTTTCATGGTAGTGCATGACTGAATCGCAAATGCGCGTCGACTACATTTACTAGAGAAAAGGAAGATTGCATTGTAGATGTAGCGCTTAAGTGACTACGTACCCACGCTACGCTGCAGGTTTAGATTACCGGCCAATTACTACCGGGTGTCGTTGCTGCAGTCGGTCACGTTCAGAGACACAGTAACGTCGCAGCAGTATGTACAGTCTCGCTTATCGTACCTTTTACGCCTATGTACAGTTGTTTACATGCACAAGCTGCTAGATCAGCTGTATTAATCTGCACAATGTCACTAGTGACAACGGTGGTAGATAGTAAAGGAACCAGCGTAAGTAATGATGATGACCTGTTCTCCTCCTACTGTATGAAGAATTCGGGAAGTCTAGATGGACGAACGGACCCAATGTCAATCCGTCTGCAAAAGAGCAACCGATTATGAAAATGCACGGCAAGTAAACTGAAGATAAATCGACGCCACGCTGAAGCTTTTATTCTAACTAACTGACGATCATAGCTGTGTATAAGACAATACTATACAGCCGTGCATTACAATGTCGCCTGTTGTTGCATCCGCCACTGTATCAGCGGAGGCTAGCTATAATTCAGCTCAAGACAGAGCGTACATATAAGCATTTATGTATCGGTGGTTTATAGTTAAAATCCTGTCCGCTAGAGAAATAGGACTTATCATCGGGCATTACCTTATATTCAAGTAACTGCCACTTGAAAGTGCTGCGCGTTAGCGTCCAATGGAGGGAAGCATCCGAACAGAAACCTAATACTTGTGGATTCAATGGAGTTCCGGGGATTCATGGACGAAATTCGGCTTCACACCGTACTCCATTGCTGTTGGAATTCTATATATATATATATATATATAGTGGAGACGGCGCTGTCAACAGTTCGATATGCACCCCTTATGCGGCGTTCACAGTTAAACATGTAAAGAAAGATCGTCGTCCGTACACTTATAGCAACTATTTGTTCATTTTCGGAAGAGTGAGATTTGGACTGTCACATGGAAATCGATATTTTCGGTCCCCTTTTAGGGATTTATTATTTCAATATAGAGGAATAGACTTTACATGTAGTTGAGCGACAAGTTTGCCCGAACGTTCGAAGGCGAAATGTAAAAAATCATCATGAGAATCTCCAAAGAAGAGGAAACCAGCAGACTGGGCTCTGAGGAAACCTGAAACAAGTTAGCGCTCGTTCAATATGACCTGTAACTTTGTACGTACACCGGTGAGTGTCCTCTTTTTCAAACCAGTTTATCATCGCTAAACGTGAATAACTTATTTGTCTTGCAGGTAAAATTACCACACTATATAATTTTCAACGCATCTGGAAGAATGCGCACTTCTTTGATAGAAAGTCAATGGATATTGCTGTTGAATTACTACGATATAACGTATGCAGGAATGGTTCGAGTAAACATCTTTTTGGAGAATGCCTTAGAAATCAATAGATTAATGATTTCATCCAGCAACTTCGTAAAATATTAAAAAAAGATCTCTTTTAGTTAAAAAATATATATATATTATTGTTATAATTGTCAAGTGTTAATTATTTGACGTAAGAGTTCTAATGAAACTCGGACATGGGCCTATTTTAACATGCCTTGGTCCATGCGTTCCCTAGCAATCTTTTTGTAAGCAACTAAGTTAATTGTCCCCTCCTGCGATATAGAGGGACCCCGAAGCATTTGGCGGCTCTTACGAATCGTATGAAAACTAAGACAGATTATAGATCTTTGTATCGAAATCAACCCCCATCTCAGAGGGGGGTGGTGGGGGGGGGGGTGAAGACCAGCGGGCAGACGCTGATATGATCGAAAATTCTTCTACGAGACTACCGCGATTGCTAACGGACGTGTTGGAAAAAAGCGTAGGTGGCAATCGCACTTTTCAAGCAAAACTCTGCCCCAGAAGAGGGCGATCTATAAAAACTGCAAGGGTAAGGTTGTCATCGCCGGTTCCAGTCCACTCACGAGATATGTCTTTCGAGTGGGCCGATTGAATTAGTATGACACAATACACGTAGGATCAATGTGAATCGACTAACAGACGAAATGCGTTCAGATTTGGTCACTTGAAATATACAAGAAGTGACCAGGTAGAGCGGAATATAAATGAATACTTTGGTTAGCTTTGCCCACTTAGCTGCGTACGCTGGTACATACGATAAGAAAATACATAAGCAGGAGCAGACTTTTTTAGATAATAGATTTGTTTATAGTTAATACTTTTTTTTCTCTTGTGATTTGTTTACAGTCTACCCAGAACAACACTTAATTGTCCGTGGGCCAGGCCAAACGCTAGATCTCGATATTTAGACGGTTTCGCTTTACCAGCGCTTTACACGCTGAAAATGTTGTAAGCCGAAGTACCGAATCTAAATTGACGTGCGGGAGATAATATTCAAACATAATCTTGCTGCTATACATGGTTTGTAAGCTCACCCAAATGAGTACTTCAACCAAATTTGGTGCAGTGCGCTAAAACTATCGTACTTGCTCGGTGACGACAGCGGTCTAATCTAGAAAATATGATCTTCGCTTAGTATATTACCTTTTTTCCAAACACATTGATAGAGTGCTTATGAAAAGTGCTAATCTTAGAGGAGCATATGTACGCCTTTTCTTGATTCCAAGTTCTCTGTGTCAGGTGGGACATGCCAAAAACAGTCAATGTTCCTACTCTATAGTTAAATCAAACTCTAACTAAAAAAGATAACGGCATCGCCCAATTACAGGGTTCGCATTGTATATATTACCGTCCGTCGGTATCTCCACTAACGGTTATGTCTCAAGGGAGAACCATTTCGACAATTGTACCTTAGATGCCATTACCCAGTCCATGGATGCTATCCATCTCTGCTGATTTTTTTTATCCATATTTTTGTGATTCATCATCCACTTACTCCAATTGCCGATAGTCCTTTTCTTACCTATATGTAACAATATTCTCAATCTTACTTTTATATCTTCCCGACAGTTGTGGAACCTTAAAGAGGCATGGGTCCAAGTTACTCCGAACGGCCGATCGGTTCTATCGCTGTGAGCTTCTGCTCATCGACAGCTCTGTCAATGATTCGCACGGCCTACGGATCAATATGGTGGATAGACAGTACCGGGCCGCACAAAAACGGTATGAGCAGATCATGCGATGATACTCCATCGTATGCGTTAGCATGTCCCGAATGAAATCGATCCTGTTCAGGAGATGAGGGAAATGATGTGACTGGGATCGATGACAGATCGATCGATAGTTGGTAAACCGCAGTAATAACCGAATGGTGATTTGGGCAAGTTCCGCTTAATCAAAGCATCCGATTTACTCGAATAAATGCACATTGTGCTTAGACATCAGCCCGGTCAGCGATTGCTTACTTACGGGTTAATTGTCTTAGTAACGGACACTTCATCTGGGCCATATGACACGTATCCAGTAGTAAAACAAGAGTTTGTTAAGGG